CATAATTACTTTCCCTACTTATTTCATTTGGCATTTCAAGCATTTTCTTCAAAATCTTTGAAATAGTCTCAAACATGGCTAGACTGATGGAGATGAGTAAGTTTGGGTCTAAGAGCGGGGAAAGAGAAATTACACATGTATATTAGCACATGCCGAAGTAAGAAGATAAGTAACCCTAAGAAATCTGCTCTTTAAATTATTGTAATTTTAGTCTGCAGTGGAATTCCACAAACCCCTTTTCTTGTTCATTTTCACTCATTTTGTGTGCCATTAACTGGAAAGTGCCTAGGAGACTTGCCAGCAAGTCCTAATGTCTCTGGAGTAATTGGATCAGAATGGCTGTGGTATCACCACAGCTTTTTATGGTGGAATTTGAAAATGTTTGTTTCGTGGCAGGCTTTCAGATTTATGGAGAATAATTTCTTAGCCGAGGCATTTGGCAAACAGTGCTCTGCATGACTCAGCAGCAGATCTTCTCCATCTCAGACTTGGTTATATTAATATCAGGTTTATTTTTTCCATGAACTCATATGTATTTATGAGTTAAGTTCTCTTACATGCTGCTGGGCCTTCTCTAGTTCCAGTGCCTGTCTGTTCAGCTACTCCACCAAAGCTACATGGCATAGACTACATAGGGATTCAGTCTTGAGGTGAGTAGAAAAAAAAGATCAGTGACTGGAGCAATTTTTTTGGTTTTAATAGAGACAATTCTGTTATTTCTGTCCTTATTTGGAGTTTCCTGGGGAGAGTTGTGCAAATTTAAGAGCATTCAGGTTCTATAACACTAGAATGAAGTCTAAAACACTAGAATGACTGGTAGAGGTGAAAGATCCATGTTTATGCTACTGGAAAGATCAGCAAGTCAAGCTCCTGTGCAGCTCTGAACTGACCACAGCACATCCTGTCTCCTCTGTGGTGGGGACCCAGAGTAGCCTTAGAAAGACAGAAGATGAAGTTTCTGTAAAGATGAAGCTGTGGGATATATTCTTCACAGGACAATGGAATTCATGTCTTTCACTGCTAATAACTCATTTGCTTACCATCACCTAATTGATTGCCGATAAATTTGCTAATTTACTAAATATTAGTAGTAATACTGGACTCTCGTATAATGCTCTTCATCACAAGATTCCAATTTCTTTTCACAATAGAGAGTATTTCCTTTTTTATAGCTGGGGGATGTTAGTCAGAGGACCAGTTTTGGGCTGAGTACAAAGTTATGCACTAGTAGCCAAAGCCACAAGTTAATCTTGATTTGTTAACACCACTTTAAAACCACCCTAAATATTTTTCCAGACGAAACACATTTGTTTCTCGTAATAAAGTTGAGGGGGAAACAAAAGGTCAATAACAAAATACTGAGAGTTCAGTCGAAACTATCAAACTGTTGTGAAGGCAAGATAGATTTTAACACTTAGCCATTGTCCATTTTAAAGTACATTCCTACATAAATAGTGAGATCAGTAACAGAGTTTCATATTTTGAGAACTCTGAAAAGCCTTTTAGCTGTTCTTAAGTGGATATCTTAGTTCTCCTATGGCTACTGTGGAGCAGATGTACCCTATATATACAGGTGACAGGCAGGGAGGCAGCCTTAGCACTGTCTGGCAAGGTCCATGTGCCCCCACTATATAGCAGTGGCCCATCTGTGCTGCTAAGCAGTTCTGCCTTCAGTTGAAAATGCATTTTTTCCCAAAATGCACTTCACAAATCTTCCAAATTTTGTCATATCCTTTTCATAGAATCATTAATGTTTGTAAAGACCTCGGAGATTATCAAGTCCAACCTTTGACCAAATAAACCACCATGTCAACTAAACCATATCCTTTAAACAGCCTGTGTTCAACTGAGTTTCACAGAGTTTAACTTGAGGGGGAAAGCTTCAGAAGAAGTTATAGGCAAATTTGAAGGCTACTTGGTGAAAGTATATGAACAGCACATAGTGACAGTCAAAAACGTACAGTTAAAGAGCTAGGAAAAAGAATGCTAACTGGAGGCAGATTTTATAAACACGATACTTAAAAACAAGATCTTGAAAAAATAGGTAATTTTCCAGTGTAGCGTACCATGAACCAAAGGAGCTTGTGATTAAGGAATTTTGAGGTCAGGTATTTACATGACTGAAAATAATAATCTTTATAAACACTGGAAACATGTAGGACAATAGCCCAGAAACTTTGCAAATTTATAGGCCACAAGTCTAAGCAAGCTGTGGATATACACTGTGTTCCTTGCATTTTTGTACCAAGTGATGGTGGTTCCTTGTAGCCCCTAGTTGTGGTAGAAGATTGTGTGAACACAAATTCTTGTGAGCCATGCTCCAGAAATCACTGCTTTTTATTTGGCTATATACATAGCCATTAAAGCAAACAACCAAACTACAACCCAACAAAACCCAGAGTTGTCTGTTGGAAGATATGAGAGGTGCTGGTGCTTGCAGGCACATCCTGAATACTGCTTGTACAGTCAAAAGACTGATTTCAGTTCTCTACTGAAATAAAGGCATGCTGGCTTTGACAGGTGTGCAAGAGGTCGATATAGTTCAGACTTTCAGCCTTCAGCTTCTGTTTAGAGGATAAGGTATTTGTTCCCACCTGGTTTCTGAAAAATCTCTGCTGTGATTGTGATCTGAGACTGCCAATGGATTCCTTAAAAAGGTGCCTTTTTAATCCTCCTGTCACCAAACCCTTCACAGAGTTTATGAGCTTGGATGAAATGAAAATTTACAGCTCCCTTGTCTGAGGACAAGGCCTATATACTAATGTAGCCTGAGACTTCAATACTAGGACAGGCCATGGTATGAATTTATAAGCATTACCATATGCACAATAATTAAAACCAAGGACTTACACTGGAAATGAGACAGATTTAATATTTCCCCCCCTACATCTCTGCCCCAAGGGTGAATTTTTATGTGCATTCTCTGGTATGTAATAAAGGCAGTCACACTGCAGTCTTTCCTTACAGGCAGGAATCAGTAAGGTGTCTCTCTCATCTCTCTGATGAGATTAAATTTGTAGGAACTTCATATCTTTGAGCTTTATCTGGCTCTGTTGTATTTGATTGAAATTGGCCCATGGATTGTTAAGTTACCGAAGGAATGATGGTTGGACAGGGAAACAGACGCATGTGTTCACTCCAACATCCATACTCATGTATTTCCTTGCTAGACTTGTCTAAGAAAATCCTCCTGCAGTGTAAGACTTTTAACTAGTGTCCTCAAATCCCTATCATCTTCCTCTGAACACTCAAGAATTGCTAACCTAGGACAGTAAAAAATGTGCTGTGAAGATGGGCTGCTTAAGTTACTTGGGTATGGCAAACTGAGCACTCCAGCAGTTCATGGCCTTGCTCTTGTTGAAATATCTGGTAAAGGGAGTGGGATATTAAAATGTGCATTGATATTGATTGATATTAAAATTAAAATTTTGATTAGCTTTAGAGCAAATGTCTACAACCTGCCTAGATATTTAAGGATCTCTACAGCTGTACAAAACCAATTCTATTCCCATTATTAATTCCATGTACAAAATTCAGAAACAAACTTAATTGCCAAATTTCAAAGCTATTTTGTACTATGGACACATGAAAATCATGTCTTGTATGTGACCATTCATCAGCTGAAGCCATTACCCACTGCGTGTGTGCTCTTAACCTGCCTCAGTTGTGGAGGACCTAATGACAATAACAGGAAACACACTGGAACCAGTAGATGGAACAAACTGAGCTCAGCCATGTAACGCTGCCTTGCCTCAAGCTTTAAGCTCTGACAGCCAAATCCTTCTGGTCATGTGCTTGTAACTCATGCAAAGTCTGAGGATTTTAGAGTGCTTGGAAATGTCAGCTTTTGAGTGGAAAAATATTTTTGATCTTTGCAGCACAACTGGTGCTCTGCTATGATATTTGTTCTAGTCGACACAATTAGTCACTGACCAGGTTTATTATTTACTTGTGACCGTTTGTCTTGCATCGAACATGTGAAAGTTGGAGCTTTAGGATAGAACAGTAACGTGTTGAATTGCATATTCTAGAGGGTACTGGTGTTCCAGCAACTCCATGTCTGATGTGGGGTTTTGCCTCAGCACCTACAGGTACAGATTCTTTCTCAGTCAAAATGATGCCTTTGGGTTGTAGGGGCTTTTTTTTGGAAGGTCGGTGCGTGTTTGTGCAAGCAAGATGTCCTCTTCTGATATTTAAAAAACAACTTCATGCCACAAGATCGTATTTTCAGTTGAGGGCTTGAAGGAAGGAGCTGTTCCTTTAGAATTACATTTCCAGTTACCCAAACAAGTGTGGTTCAACAACCCTAACTGAGCGCGCATATCTCAGTACTTTCAGTGCCGCAGAAGTAACAAAGTAACACGGCGCTACGTTTGCGCTTTGCCTCATCCAGTGAGTCCTGAGCTGCAAGTTCAAACTACGGTCTTTTCCCTTCTCCCGGCCGATGCCAGAGTAATGACAGTAGCGAGGGGCCGCAGCTGTCGGGCGCCGAGGGCAGTCCCTGAGGGGAAAGCTGGGGGCCGGCCGGCCTCCTCGGGCTGCGCGGCACTACAGCCCGATGGCGGGGGGCAGAGACACCTTCACCCTCTTCCTCCCCCGCCCTGCCCTCCATAGCCGGGACCCCTCTCGGGCGGCGGAGACCCCGGGCAGAGCGCACCGAGAGCTGCGGCGCTGGGCCGGGGCGGCGGCCTAGCCCGGGCCGCCGGGAGACCCCATCCCGTCTTGCGGGGCAGCCCCCAGCGCCCGCCGTACCTCTCCCTATCCCGTTTCCCTTCCCCCGGCTCCCCGCGGCCGGGCGGCGGCCGCAGCCCCGTCCCCACGGGGCCTGTCCCTCCCCGGGGCGGGGCGCCGTGGCGGCCCCGCCTCCCCGGCCGCGGCGGCTGTCACGGGGCGAGCGGGCGGCACCGGGCTCCTGCGGGGCGGGGGCGGCGCTGCGCGGGGCCCCGCGGCTTCCCTTCGGCCTGGCCGAGGCCGCCCGGCGGCATCCGCGCTCTGCCACCATGTTCAGGCGGATTCTGCAGCGGGTAAGGCAGCGAGACCCGCTCCAGCGGCGAGGGCGGCGTGCCGTGCCCTGCCCTGCCCTGCCCCGCCGTGCCGTGGAGGTGCCGCTTCCTGGTGCCGGCCGGGATCGGGGCCGCGCTTCCCGCGGCGTAGCCGGAGCCCCGGGCCGGCCCGGGGCGGCGCAGGGTGCGGGGTAGGGCCGTGGCGGCCGGCGAGGCCGTGAGCTTGTCCGCCCCCGCCCCCTCGCCGGGGGACGGCCCGAGCCGCGACGGCCCGGGCCCGCGGTCCCGGCTGGGGGCGGTGTCGCCCCCCGGGCTGGGCGGAGGCGCTGGTGACGGGCGGGCTCAGGGCTCCCACGGCAGGGCCTGTCGGAGGGGCGCAGGGCGGCCCGACCCGGCGTGGTTCCTTCCTTCCCTTCCCGCAGCGCGGCGACGTCTCCGCCCGCCGCCAGTGCCCGTCGCCGCGGCCGCCCGCGCATAGGGCAGGGTCAAGGGAAGCCCAGTGCAGGGAGAGCCGCCGCGGGGACCCGCCGTGATTCCCCCGGGGGGCCGGCAGGCAGCGGGCTCCTAATGCCGAGAGCCAGCCCCGCCGCCACCGTCCGCCTGTCTGCCGTGTTTTAGGAACCGGCTTTTCCGGCACCCCTGCCTGGCTCAGAAAGCCAAATTGTGACACCAGTTTATGAACCCTTCTCGCCTCTCCGGATCCCCGCGCATCCCCGCGGCGGTGCCAGCCGCCTTGCGGGTCGCCTGCGGCTCGGGCGGGAGCTGCTGGGGAGGCGCTGGCGCGGGGCAGGTGCCGGCTGGCTCCGACTCCGGCAGTCCGTCACCGCGGGCGCTCGGCTGGGGAATGCACCGAAAAGGGTTGAGTCACGCCGGCGGTGGGCAGGCAGAGCTGCAGATCCCGCACCGCAGGAGAGCGGTGTCGGTGTCATGCAGGAGGCGCTCACGCATAGAGGAGAAATCGGCTGCTCGCCCCGTTTTATCTGGTTTTGCTTCCAAAGCTTACTGTCTGCCTAACACCTCTTGTGAAAGGGTGTTTGATTGGAAAGATTGGCGTCCTTTCCTTATCTGCCATGCGAGGAAGAATTACTACAGGAATGAGAGTTAACACAGGGGAATAAAGTAAGCGTACTACCAACTTTTTCAATGTAAAGTATGCCTCAAATTGTTTTTCGATGATAGACCCTGAGCAGGTGAAGATCTTGGCCTATTTGGAGCTTCGTGTTTACAAGGAAGAACTTCCTTCCCTAAGTTTGATAGGAAGCCCTGCTAAAAAGCAGGGAAACTTAGTGCAGACCTAATTAAATATTGGCAGTAGGTAACTGTGTGTTTATTGATTCTAAGAGGCCGTCGCGGAAAGCTTCTGTGAAAGAGGAAAAAACTTGATACAGTGCCAAAGGATATTTGCCCCTAAGTATAAATACAGCTAAACAGTTCCTATACAAATCTACTAAAGTTGGTGCGAAAATTTTTATGTGTTAGACATCTTTTCCGAAACGTTTGAACAAATAACTATTCTCCAGTTGCTCCTGAAAATTACAGGATTACAGCAGAGCTAATTGTCAACAGAGGTAAAACAGACTTTTTCCTGCCCAAAAATGAGGTAGAGAAATGCTAAGATTTTTAAAGGTGTTAATCAATCTTTTACCTGGTGAAAACAACTGTACTTTTAAAAATCTACCTCTTATTAAAAGGGACAGTAGGCATTTTGTAAAAATAGTGATTGCAAGCACAACCTCATACGTACATGCCTTTTTGACTTACAGTCTGATTGGCAAGCTGTGAAAAATACTGCTGTTCTTTCATATTAAAAGTGAACTTTTGGGAGCTGTCAGATATTTTCATAAAGAACATAATTATTCTGATCTTTCATGTGTCTCGTGCAGTAATTTGAAAGCTAAGGAACCTCCTCTTGATCCTTTTCTTGTGCATCGTTAGTATAACTGGCAAAAAAAACCCCTGCCTTCCAGTTGCTGAAACATTGTTTGTTACACATCTATTTGGTTTATTAATTGGTTATAGGGGATGCCATCCTTCCTAGTCCAAGAGCTAGTCATTACTGGTGATATAACTTGAGCTGTGAAAGAATGTTTTTTAAAAAAGGAATTGTTTATTACATTCGGTTTTGTTGTAACTCAGCTGACTGTCGAGGAGGATCACAGGTGCAAATATATGGTTTATAGTTTCCTTGTTTGAAATTCTGATTCCTGAAGTTTTGAAACATCAGATTTTTCTTTGTTATACTACTTCTGTACCTGGATCACCTTTTTTTTTTTCTTCCACAGTTATAATTTCTGTTTTTAAAAGTATCATCACAGTGAATTTGAATGGCATATTTTCAAAATAGAAAGTATTATATATTTAGCATTGTTCGTTTAGTTTTTGAAGTTAGTATCTCCATGTGGTCTTCAATTAGATCCTCATTTTAGGTTCTTTCCTTACAAGCTGTTTCTAAATTTTATGTATGTTTTCAGTGTGACGTCTCAGGAATCCATCTGTTTTGTACATTTGTACCATTAAACCCCCTTTCATTCATTCTTGCCACTTCTTTGTTTCTTATGTTGTTCCTCATGCTGATCTAGAAAAAGGTGGTCTTTCCCGAAAGGTCGGCGTGGATTTTCCAAAATCTGTGTGGAATATCTGAGGCACAGCTTTCCTGCTCAGAGAGTTTGATTTTTGTCAGTGGATTCCTTCTAGAGCTGTCTTGTCTTTGTTGTGTTCAACTCTGAATGCCCTTTGTGGGCATTATGTCCTCTCTCTGTTGTTCACCTCTAGCGGGCCAGTGGCTGTTGCCTCTGGTCTGTTAAAGCAGAGCTCACTTTTTGTATTTGCAAGGAGGAGGCATTTATTTGAGCTGATGGAAAGCTGATTACTTTGACCTCCTTCTGAGAATTCTTACCATTGCTCATGTTTTTAAGTGAAGGACTCGTCTACTGGGCCAATGTGACTACTGTTTACATTAGTTTTTATCTTCATTCTTTGTGTTCAACTGGATGTCTACAACTGTTGGCAACTGTGCTGTGGTTGAGAGTACATTTCTTTTGCTCATTGTTTCTAACTAATGTTCGAGTTCTTGGTCTCAAGGTCTTGGGGGAGAACAGGAATTTGCAAGTGTTTCTGTAGTTCAGGTAGTACAGTCACCTTTCTCTTACTCCAAGCTTGGGAACAGATATGTTTGCTTATCTAGGATGCTTTGCATCTCATGCCTTACGTATGATTTTCTTTTTACATTTATAATTGCAGGGCTTGCTGGATAGCATATTTACTTGGATGGATGCTGAAATGCAGCTGTGCTTGTACCCTCTCCTGAGGAATCAGAGGGGGCATGTGTGCCCATTCTTGGGTGTAAGGTCTAATTTTGTGAAACTGATGGCACAATGGGAAAGAAAGGCTTTATGCCCTGTGAAGTCTGGAGTAACTTAATTTTACAGAATCATAAAGTAGCATCACAGTTCTTTAGAAGTAAATGATATCAGTGTTCTGGTTTGCAGGTTACCCTGTTTCTAGCTCTGAGAGTTGTTTGATAACAGCTTTGGCCTTCTTACCTTCTCATTCTCCTGTCTTGCTTGTTGCTTCAGGACCTTTTTATGGTTGTGCTAGTACCCTTATTTTGTATTTAAATCTGTACTGGTTTAAGTCTGTATTTGTTCACATTTTCTCAAGGCATTACATATTTTTTCAAAGGTTTTAATTTACTCTGAATTTAAAACTGCTGAAAAGAGTATCATAACTGAAAGGAATGTAGCTACAGACAGATAAATGAATATGCAAAAATGATGCAGTAGTGATCTGTATTTATTCTCAGTCATTTTAAAGCTTAAACTCAAGTCATTCATTATATAATTTTCTCTGCCTTTTCAGAAAACAAGCTGCAATCGTTGTCATCCTTGTTGTTGTTAATGATGTTTCTTTTTATTAGCTTGCAATTTTGAGAAAACATAGAGAATGACATTATGAAGTTTAGCCTATTACTTGTACAACTGTAGAGCTAGTAGTAGAAACGTGTTTCTTTGCAAAGTAAACAAATGTAACTTGGACAACTAGGAGACAAATGTGCTGGATCAAAGAGTAATTTATCATCACTCTTTTAACTCCAGGTTTTTCTTCAGGGGTCAAGTGTTAATTTTGTAAAAGTACATATTACAGAAGCCTATGTGGAAATTTTCTCTCGGGTTAGTAAGTCATTCATTTGCTCCCCTGTATAGGCCATCTGAAAACAAAGAGTGGCATTCTGAGTCTTTCCTTAGATCACAAAGTCCAAGTTGTTCAATGTGTTGTGATTTTTTTTTTTTAATGGAATGTGATATAACAATGGTATGTGAGCATATCTTAACCATGAACTGATTTGATGATGCAATGGTCAATTAAAAAAAAAACCCATTCCCAATCTCCCATTCTTTATTTGAATGATGAAGGATGTTTAAATTACATTACAACCTTGAAAGATAAGTTAATTGGATCTTTCATCTTATCTTCCATAACATCATTCCAATTTTTAAAATTTTTTTTTCCTGCTAATCTGTATACTTTGCAAAGGGGTGCTACGGACTGTAACTTGGAAGTTACTTAATGACATCTTCCCACCCTTCTTTCCTGTGCATGGCACTCACCAGAAAATGCCACCTATTTGTACCAGGCTTTCTAAATCTGGCTTGGAATTATGCTTTCTCTTTTTAAAGAGTGCACATTGTTTTTTGAGAGGTTAAAAGGATTTACCTGTACTTTGTAATAATTTCTGTCATATAACGCATGCAATAAGACATGCTGTGTGGTGCCTATTAGTGTGATTATAGCATGTCTGAAGTATTTCATAAAGCATATACTTTAATCAACCATGTAGTAATAACCCTGTACTTTTAATATAAGAACTTGCATCCTAGAGGTTGTAATAATCTCAAATTTGTAGTGCTAGAACTAGCAGAACTTAATACACGAATCTCACCGCAAATGCAGTCAGCGCTGGTGTGAAATGGGATGGGTGATTAACAGTGTACAGTAGTATTGTGTAGGGAGTTATGAGGTGAAGAAAATACTATGTTAATTGTCATAGAAGATTCTTGGGTTTGGAATGAAATGATTTGTTAGGTGTCCTGAAAGCATCTCTCAGGTATTGTAAAAGTGGAGGTATATGCTGCTGATCTAAAGAGACACTGGGGCCATCTGTTATTGCCATTGCCCAGGCTATCAAGTTCTTTTCAGGTTGTCCCTCTGCTCACTTGTTTCTGTCCAAGGCTACATGAGGGCACATTCTTCAGTTTTTGGAGATGAAGGGTAAAACAAAAGGCTTCCTTTTCATGTAAAGCATTAGTAAAGATATGCATATCCTTAAATGCTGACACTTTCTCCATTTCGAAACGTCCCATTTCCACTTGTGCATTTAGGTAGTGGGACAGACAGGGGTCCAAGTTTTCTGGCTTTCTAGAACCAAACAGCCACCATAGCTAACTACCATATGAAAGCCTTTTGATTTTTCAGATTTCTAAAGCATTTTTAAAAGTTTCTCTCAATAAGAAATTTATTCTTTTATCATGAGAGTTCATCTCCTTTATGGAAGAAAGCTTTGACACTGGCCTCCTAATTTTCCCTTATGTAGACATATCTATCTATGCATCTTCTCTGGATTCTTTGTTCTTGCACAAAGTGGATTCACAAGTGAGCCTTACTGCTGGGTTGCATGGCTGTGGATTATGTATTGCATGGAAAGGAACTTCTAAGCTATATAAAATGAAGAAAATTGGTTATAACATTGGATGCAATATTCTAACTTTGCTGTCTTACTGGGAAACTTGGCTACACCTTACCAGTTGTTTTAGATATTACACAATCCACATCCTCATTAATGGAGTTACTAAACTTGTATTTCAGAGCTTTCCTGCAGGATGTGTGTTTCTGTGAGCAGCACTTCATAGGCCACAGAACAATTTGGGCAGGAAGGGAGCTCAGGAGCTCTCTAGTCTAAGCTCCTGCTGCGAGCAGGACCAGCTTGGAGGTCAGGAGCAGGCTGCTTAGGCCTGGCCTCACGCTGGAAAATATGTTTTTTACATCTAGTGGAACCTCTCATTTCAGTTCTGTGTCTGGTCCTCCCACTGTGTGCTGCTCGAACCAACCTGGCTTCTGTTTCTGATGGCCTCCTCAAAAGGTGATGCCCTCCCAAAACTGTCTCTGCTCCAGGCTGAGCCAGCCGTTTCCTCTGCCTCTCTCATGGGAAAGATGCTCCATCCGCAGATGTCTTGGTGGCCTTTTCCTCGACTCACTCTGATTTATCAGTGTCCTCCTTGGACTGGGAGAACTGAAACTAGATGCAGCATCTTGATGCGTTCCAATGATGCCGGCCAGTGGGGGGTGATTGCTTCTCTTGGTTGTTTGGCAGGGCTCCTGTTAACAATCCACAGTTCTGGTGTCCCGCTCTGCTGCCAGGGCATGCTGCTGGCTCCTGTTTGGCTTGCTGTCTGACACGAGGCCAGGGACCTTTTCAGCAGGGAGGCCTCTGTTGCTGCCAGGGCTTTTCCCTCCATGGCACAGGACTCTGCATTTGTCCCTGTTGAATGGCATGAGATTCCCAATGGCCTATTCCTCCAGCCCATCCAAGTTCCTCTGAATGGCAGACTGGTCTTCCCAGTTTGATGTCATGTAGAAACCTGATGAGTGTGCACCTGTTGTCCGTGCTGGGTTGTGCCTTGTTTACTGTCTATATCAGTGACCTGGAGGAGAATAATTACCAATGCCTTCACTTTGATGTGTTTTACCATGTGCATTGTCTCTCTTCTCTGCTTACCCCCTTTTTTGCCTCTCCTGTTACTAACTTGCAGAGCTTGCATCACTTGCCTATTGCTTTTGAATGCTGTACTAGAAGGAAACTACCTGTTCATATTTTCTTTAGAAATATAAAACAGCTAAAATGAAAAAGACACGGACTAAGAAAAACAGCATATGTTGATCACTTAAATGATGACCTCAGAGAAAGCTGGAATGAGGAATGGTTGTCTTCTTTTAGTGTCACCAGGCCCCATAGCTTGTTGTTTCACTCCTCCCCCCTCCTTTTGGCCAGTCTTCAGAGGTTTTCTAAAACTGAAATGTATCTCACTGGGAATTAAGTCCTTCATCAGTAAATTCGACCTTTTTATTATATTTTTTTATTTTATTATTAATAAAAGGGTGTTATCTTTATGAAAGTTGAAAATAGAACATTCTTTTTAAAACAACGCAGGAATATGTATTTAATTTTCAAAGTATGGAAAAGCATGTGTGCTGCAGATGCTATATAAAAGGTTTTATACAAGATTTGTGTACAAAAAAAGGATTTATTTGAGCAAGAAAATTCCAAATCAAGTAAGATTTTGGAGACACCGAGATCTGGAAACTAAAACTCTGTCCCTCACTCTGTAGATTTCAATCTAAATATTTAAATTCTTTATTCCTCCTATATTAAAAGATAAAATCCTTTATAACGTTACATGTGTTTTCAGATGGGTTAAAATACAGAGGTAGCATTACTTCATTCCATTTGTCTTAAGGGAATTAGATAATGACCTTTTTGTTTGTTGAAACTATGATTGCATATCTGTATTAAGATAGTGCCTAATGTTTGCTTTGAGAATGCTAGCTCTTCTACCATCAGTCAAGCAGTGATATTTTGGAGATGAGTAGAAGTTGAATGAAATTTAAATCAAAATTATAGTTTAAATAAGGATTATAAGAGGCCATCCATCTATTTAGATTTTGAATCATGTAGTGTTTAAAATTTATTTGCTTGTGTTATCTAAACCTATGGTTTCAAATCAATACTGCTGTTTTGATTTTCAGCATATTTGTAAGAGTATATCTTTATAGGTTGTCTTACTGATTAAGAGGTTTTAACTTTACCAGAGGCTTTATTATTTTAATTTTTCTCGAAATCAAGGTAGCGTACCTACTTGTGTGCAGGGTCCTCACACTTTAGTTTTCTGTCTTTCAAATATTTAAAGGTTTGTTCATGTTGTAGACAAGTTATCAGAAAGTAGTGTGATACTTTTTAGAAAACTTTTTAGATTTTAATTTCTAGTGGTTTCCTATATGATATAGAGACCTAATTTAACATCAGCAAGAGTGATACAAGGGCAGAGTTTAGCCAGATTTTTTGTTTTGTGTTGAGCATTCATGAGAGGAAAGGGTTTAAAATCCTGGCCTTTGCTTATGGTGTCTGCTTGTCCTTTTATGTATGGAAAGTCTTGAGTAAAAGTTTTTGTTGAAATGTTGTGCTGAAAATTGTATAATTGCTTGTCAACTTGTTCGCTTCATTACTGTTGTGAAGGGAAAATACCTCTGTATTCCAGCAAGTAGAAGAGGGGCCTTTGCATAGGATCGATACCATACTTAATTAAGTATTTATTAAGTATTAAAATGTAGACACTCATTTTTCTCTTCCCCATCTATTTCAGACTCCAGGCAGAGGTGGGTCTCAGAGCTCGGATTCGGATTCATCTGCCACACCTGGAAATGTCGTTGATGTGAACAATGAAGGCTCCTCTGAGGTACTGAGCACCATACGTGGGGCTGGCGCTCTAAACCTTGGTTGCTGTTGCTGGTTCTCTGCTGTGTGAACCTGTTAGGAGCAACTTTTGATGCCGTTCCTAAATAACAGCTGTACTAAAACAATACTTGCAAGTGTCATCTTCTAAAAATTGTTTGCTATTTAAATAAAAAAAAGGAAGGCTAGGCTATATTTATATGTAACTATTAATTAGGCTTATGAGTTTAAGTTGTTGCAAGCAATCCTTCCTGTAGTTCTAGAGATGAATTATTAAAATTAAAAGCAATGAAATGTAAGCTTAAGACTCCTTGTTAGTAAAACTTTTATGAGAGCTGAAAAAGCAGGGCTTAACTCCATTTTCACCTTGCTTCTGCTAAGCTGTAATGTATACTGGAAACCTCGTCCTTCTCGTGAAATATCAAATATGTTGGGTTTTGTTTGGTGTTGGTGTTAAATCTACCAGATGTAAATCCCATCATTTTTTTATATGCTGTATGCCATACTTAATCAGCAGAATAAGTTGTTGTTCTTGCTTCAGTCCCACATTATAATGTCTTTGGATTTACGGTGTTGTCAAATATTAACTCTGAAAAATGCAAACTGACTTCACTGGCTGCTGAAGCTAGTTTGTGCTAATGTAGCCTGATGACCTATCCTGAAAGTGTTTTGAGCTTAGCATGCAACTACAGTGCAAGGTTAATTACTCCTATTACAACCTTAAAGGGAGGAAAGTGCCCTTTCTTATGCTGAATAAAGTGTGTGACAATTCAAATACACCTGTTTTGGCTATGATAAGAGATAAGAGAAACTTTCACTGTGCTGTTTAAAATCCTGATGCCCTTCCATCTATGCATCTGCTTGTTTCTTATTTCTTGAAGCTTGCAGTCAGTGTAATCAGACATTCCTTAATATTTTGCTGCATGTTGTACATATTACATATTTTTGAGTCTAGATCTGTTTTGTATGCATATTTAGCCATACCTGAAGCAAGTAAATATTCTTAAATTGCGGACTAAAATCTTACTACTTTTGTAGTTAATTAAGGCACGAAAATGTGCAGTGAGATAGTTGCTTCTTTCCAAAGTTTGGCTAAAATTGTACAGTTCTGTTAACGTGACTGCAAGAGAGCTGACTGTACAGCTGGTGGGTGTTACAAGGTACCTCAGTACTAGTGCAGCAGTATTTTCCTAACATCGGATGAGATTTCAAAGTGGTGTTGGGCCTGCACTATTGCCCCACTGGCTTTTCTCGCTACTGAGACAAAATTGGGTCAGACCAAAGACTGCTTTGTCACTCTTGGTTGATATGCATGTATAACATGAAAAAGTATCTTCTGGTTGTCAGTAATCCCACTATTTGTTGCATTAGTTGCAAGTTGGGTGTTATCCTTAGCAAAGAAGTTCAAAGTCTATTTCAAGCTGAGCTCTGCACCTGGTGATAGGTTTTTATTCTCCTCAGATTCTTGCATTACAGCATGCAACTCAAGTCTTTGTGTGAGTTTTCCTGCACAGCTGGCTTGAGGTGTTGTCTCTATTGGAGCTTCTCTTCAGGAGCACCATAGTTGGTCTCTGCAGAATGTTTGGTCTTTGTTTTCTCATTATGTTCCCACTTGGTTCTCCAGCATTATGTAGTCAGAAATCCATTAACTTGTTTTACTCCAATGTCTTGGCTAGATCTTCTAACTGGTATTGCTTCAAGATTCAAATGAAGAATTATTATTAGGTTGTGCAGATTCATGTGTTTTCTACCTCCTCAAGCCTGGTTGAAATAAATCCTGATTTTTGAGAATTGTACTGTGAAACAAAACGAATGGGGAGGTCTGAATTCAAACTGCTCAAGAAGAGATGAAAATTTAAGTCCCATCTGTGGCCATGCCAGCACTTTGGTCACACACAGACTCATATCAAGTCTAGATACGTCTTTTATTCACTGTGCAATGTGCCCAAGGAGAAAATATTTGAGTCTGTCCTACCTGTGTAGCTTAGGACCCAGTGCAACTCTGTCTGCAGTGCAGGGTTGCTAAATACTCCATGCTTGCAGTGAGTCTACCAGTGAGATTACGCTTTTCTTGGTGTTGCGTGTCTGCATTAGCTGGACAGGTTTGCCTCAGCCTCACCTGCTGCTGTTGCAATCTTGCTTATTAATTTATAGAGGTATTTCTGCAACCTCACCCCACCACCGTTACCTCTGTCTGTAAAACATCTGAATGCCCTTATGGGAAACCTCATGATGGATGTGCCCAGTAATGCCTTCTTTCACAGTTTGTTACACAGCTTATTCCTCTGTCACGTGAAGGGGGTAACAAGAGTTTCTAGAAAACATATAGCTAGCATGGTGCTAGCTTTTAAGGCATGTTTTAGATTCGTTTATTTTTATGTCCTTAATAACTGTTCCTTCTTGCTTTCTCTATAGTATTATGTGTATACGAAAGCTATCTTTCTGAAAGGAAAACAGACTTTGCTTTTGATTGTAGAGAACTTTCAGCATAAGAATTTGAACTTTTGATTCCAGGTCTGCTTTTTTTTTTTCTTGGTCTTTATTAGTTCCTTAAAAACAAATATACATTTCACAGGGCTTCATCTGTCCACTATGTATGAAAGTGTGTGTAACTCCCACTGATCTGTCTGAACATTACAAGAGTGAGCACACTGGGATAGAAGGAAGACAGGAGCTTCGTGACCTCCCAGCTATTAGTGTGGGTCTTGTTTATTTTGTTTCAATACCTTTGGTAATGGGCTGCTTTAAATGAACCTACATCTTGTGGCTTGGGTGTTAGCTTTTTAAATTGTTTCTTTTGATTCCTTGCTTAAACTTTATTTGATCTCTTATGCATGATTCCAAAATATACATTCAGCAGAAGGATTAAACTATGTGTAACTTTCTGGTTTGCAGTTGTCTGTCACATGAGACATTTGCAGTGTTTGGAAGACTTGCAGTCACTGATATATGCCTTTTTTTTTTTTTAACAGCTTTTCCTTGATTTTTTTGTAAATCAGACCGTTTCCTTATTTGATTTATTTCACATAAGACTCAGTATCATGATAAACATGGTACTGGATCTTGCACATCCTTTGCGAAAAGAAATATTTTGAGCTCTTACTAGCTAACTTTTTAAACCAGATTTCTTGTGCAAGATAGGGACATTGGGTAAAAGAACAGAGGGCAGAAATATGAAATCTCAGAAGCTTCTCTTCTTGAACATGTTTAAGAGCTTATATATTGCAGCAACATTATAAAAATAATTATAAAACCAAATTTTTAATGCATAATCTTATTGGAATTTTTATGCCCTCAAGAAAATACAAAGTTGTTTCAGTTAATAGACATAAATTGTAGTGCATTTCTAAATTCTTCCAGTTATAGAGTGTAAAAGCTCACAATTAAAACAAAGTGTGTGGTTTAACACTGCACAATTGGAAGAATTTAAATTCTTTAAGTTAACAGCCTCCAGCTGCATCAGCTATCTGATATTTTTCTGCTATGAAACTTCAGCAAGTAGATTGGACTGGGGGCAGGCAGCTCGCTGTGCACTAAATGGGTTTGTGTGGAGATGAAGTTTTGCATTCTTTCTGCCAGTGTTACTTTTTCTGAGTTTTGAAATCAAAGTGTTTATTCTGGACTGTGTGTGTGATGTGATTTTATTGTGTTTGTTGTTGTACACATTTGCTAAGTAGTGATTGATGTATATTTGCACTATAGTTTTGAAGGGAAAATTTCAAATTGTGAGATGTTACTCTGACAGGTGATGAAAGCCATCAATACATTGATTATTCTAGTGCTAACTTGAGATGTCATTTTAAGGGTGAAAGGTCACCTGTTAAAATGAAGATGACCTGTACCAAAACTGCCCTGTGCTGCTCTCCTGGAGTGGTGTGGGACCTCCTCAGAGCCAGGACAACTGGAGTATGGCTTTTGATTGACTCCTTACAGCCTCTTGTTGAAGCAGAGACCATCTGTAGTGCTCTGCTGTGGTCAAGTCAGCTTCTTATTTTCTTTATTATCCGGTCACAATGTAAGGTGCTGTACTTGAATAAGCTATCGCATTCCTGATGCCGTGATGTAAGTTAATTGTGGAGCCATCAGAGGTGGTTTGATTACCTGAAGAAGTTACTGTTTTATTTAAGCTGCAGGGTTCTTGCCCACTTTGGGTTTTTGTTTTTCTACCATTAGTCAGTACTTTTCACTTATCAACAGCTGATTACAGTTTTTAAACTTGATAAAACTTGTGTATCGAGTGTAGCACATGAAATACAAATTCAGTTGTTTCTGGCTGTTGCTGTTTCCTGTTGCTAAAGTTGTGTTTCTTTGTACAGTGGTTCAGTAAATATCTGTAAGGAGTGAGAAAAAAAGAAAGCAAATATATATATGTATTGGGGTTTTTTCCCAGTTAGATCTTTTATTATATCAGCATGCCTAGAAGCCTTGAAACAGTGGAGAATTCCATTAATTACTATCATCAATGCTAGTATAAAAACTTTCAAATACTTGACTACTGAGAAGCCGATTGTTTGCTGATGGAAAACAATAGTTTGCATTGGTATCGAACACACTGAAACAGCAACACAGACAGGTTGTCATCCCTCATTCAATCTTTGTCGTTCCTGGGATAGCATTATGACAATGATATAACGTTGTCAATGTCATCTTGTGTAGCAGACTTGAAACGTTGCTGGGTTTGGCTAACTTAGCTGGTGTTCAGCTTTATTGCTTGGGGATACTACTGGGAAAAGCTCAAATACATTTTATTGGAAACAGTGCTGAAGAGGCTTGTGAATTCAAGTTTTTTGGCAGTGCATTCTCCTTTAAGCAAGGAGATAGGATGTGTTGCAAGGCCAGTGTTTGGTCACACTTTGAGGGATTGTTACTTGGTTAACAAAAGCATTGCTACTTTGCTTTAAATTTTGCCTGTAGTTTCTTTGCTAACACTGATATATCCTCCCCACTGAAGAAACTTTTAGTAAGTCGGGTCGCTCCTCTCTTCTTCTTACCCTTCCTTCCTCTCTGTCCTTCAGGCAGTGAGAGTTGGTCTTGTTTTTCAGTCACAGGCATTCACACCTGCAGTGTCCTGTCGTAGGAAAGGTTTCTTGCCACTCATCTACAGTCTGATTTATGGTCATCTTCTTAAACAGCTCTCTTTGCAGCCCTCATTTTTCAAACTAGGGATTGAAACATATGATAACTGCTGAAAATGTCAGTGTATTACATCCCTTGCCTCTCAGGCATTGATGAACCCTTACTTTAAAAGACAAAGGCTTATTCAACTGCAGGAACAACCGTCAAAATGTTGGCAAGTGTCTGTCCATGTATAGCCAAGTCAACCAAACAAATACTGTATAAAAGTCACACACATCCCCAAGTCCCCAAACACTGTTCCCCAGCTTTCAAGTATACAGTGGTGTCACTAACAAAAGCTATGTAGCGGCTTCTGTTTTGTTTTATTTTTCCTAAAGGAATGATATGTTTCTAAACCATCTCCAGCATTTCCTGACAGTCTCTGTTGGACATTCAGGACATCTAAACAGTGAGTCAGTTATAGGGGCATAGTTTGAGACTTCCTGTCCTTTTTTTATTGAGGCATCCAAAACAACCACTGTATGGTACCCCTGCAGTGTTTAGAAAATGGAGGCTGTTAACATCTGTTTTCTTACCTACCATTAAGCTAAATCTAGGCCAATTTTTAAGCAGTTCTTTTGGGTAGTCTTCATAACTTTCCAGTTATGGAAGTATGTATTTCATGGCTAATACAAGCATGATATGACCCTGAAGTTTTCTGAACAGGCTTTTCACAGCAGAATTGCCAGTAGTGTAAATTGGTATACTGGTTATGCAAAAATGTAGGGGGTTTATGTCTGTCTTTAAAAAACCCTAATTTTTTATGGTGTTTTTTCCCTACTTGTGTCTTATTGCAAATGCAGTTGATTGAATCTTCTGTTTTTATGGATGCCCTTGGAATGTTGCAGACTGTCTTTGCACAGAACATCATGTCAGTGCTTTACTGCTGATATTTTATTCTCTTTCAGTTGCTTCTCAAATTAGATTATGCTGGCTGTTTTCACCTCAGCACTACTTGTCTGCTTTGCACAGGAACAAAGATCATTGATTGTGCTACATTAGTACATTAACTTCCTGCAACATCCAAAAAATATTAGGAGAATGAAAAATTAGAGATACTGATTTGATATGACTTTGCTGAATGATGTGACTTACTTTAAGAAATAGAGAATCCACTGGATTAGAATTTATAATTCAGGACAAAATTGTAGTTTTGTAGGTTATGACAGAATTTTAGACTTACTCATGAATAGCAATAGAATCAGAAGAGAACTGAACTAGAAATTATATGGATTCTGTTCATCTCAGGAGGAATCCAGCTATTTTTCCAGGAGGACATAAATTCTGCAGTCTGGTATAAAATAAACTAGCAACTTCTCTTTGTCCAGAAATGCAAATATTTACTTGTAAAATTGAAATGGACTGCAGGACCTTTTTACCTACTTTTCTAGTGATTAAATAGAGATGTTATCCGAGGAAGCCACTGTCATCTTACTGTTTATGTAAACACAGAGGAAAGGGCTTTTTCTGGTGAAAGACATGAAAAAATGTCAATTGCCTTTTAGCAATATATAAGGGGAGTGACCTGGGGAGTGACATAATTTATTTATACTTTAACTTAAAATATCTCATAATTTTCTTTTAAACAATATGTAAGGCTTCTGAAACAAATTGTGAAATGTGGTCTTGCCCTTGCTGTCTAGGCAGACAGTTTAATTTGTCTCTGAGAACTTCCTGAAGATTCAGTTAATTGCTTTGATATATATTCAGAAAATAAATTTAGAAGCTTCTTGATACATCTTTCAACTCTGCAATATCAGTATGTTTTTGCCCTCTGGCCCTAAGTATATAGAGTTTCTAACCTTCTGTCATGTAAAATCTTTCAGTCTTTAAATCACTGTGTAACTGAAGAATATCTTGAGTTTTAGCTCAGACTTACTATTTAAATGTTGCTGAATATGCGTGTCTGGTATTGGGGAAGATTGTGGAAGTTCACCTGCAGTGGAAAAAAACATGAATGGTGAGCTTAGTTTCAGATTTTTAAACATGCTGGACTTTATTCACAACATACAGCTTATTGCACCAATACAGCTGCATGAGATTTCTAATGTAAGTCTGGAATCTGAGAGATGGGCAAACATAGGTCACGGCTGGAAGGTGTTACAGCTCTGGGCTTGAATCACTGCTATTAGCTTTTTGTTCATGCAGCTCACTGGAAACAGACTGTAACCTTGAGTGCTGGCCTGGTATTTTTGGAAAGTCAATGGTGAAACTTAGGTACTCAAATCTATTTAAACTTAAAGCCTGGTCATGTGAATGCCAAGTGTGCTAAAGTGCACACTGGTTTGGGCTAAGCTGTTCCTATGACACGTATATGGTAGAATAATCATGAATGCTTTCCATATGATAAAACTATCAATTATACTGAAATTCTGTGGTGTGAAGTTTATTTTTTGGGGGCATGGGTTGTTTTTTTTTTTTTCTTTTGTTTTTTGTTGTACACCACAGTACTTAAATATTTTCCAAGAATAATGTTTGTGAAATAAAATTGACTTCTCAGTGGAAAACAGTGGAGTTCATGGTTCTTTAAGCTTGACTCATGAGATAATTGCTAGAATAAAAAATCAAGATGTTACAGAAGCT